CGGTCTTCTTACTTGTCTTATTTTTGTTTGTGTTTCGACACAACTTGATAAGCATACGTTTTCGTCAAATTTCAGATACATTTCACTGAAAGTAACGAGACATGTAAGAGTGCCTTGAATTTTTGTTAATTGAAGGTATCTTCAAAGACCGTGAGGATATTGCTTTAATATTATATTAAGTATATTAAAACTAAATTGCGGATCACAATGTCTATTATAATATTTTTTATTAAAAGTTGATAAAGATATGTACGGACAGACGCACGAACTGACAAACATAACAAATCAAGAAAGGAGCAAAATTTTCCTGTTCTAGGCAGCCGGATAAAGCGAGCGTATACTTTTCCTTACATAATGGTTAAAAAATGGTTAGACTGCACGCTGTAACGGTAAGATTTGTTAACGTTTTCTGCTTATTCTACCCAAATACCTTTCGGTCACGTTTCGCGGACAACACTTACAAAACGCAGCAGGAAGCTAACGACGTAGACAGGATTTATGTAATTGTACGTATTTTGTCGACAGTAACAAATATAGCATAACAGTAGAAAAAAATCGGGCTGTAATTGATTGTAACAGTAGGAGTTGGAAAGCAAGGACGACTTGCTCAGACAATTGCAAATGGTTGAATAAGACATTTTCATGGGATTTATTGAATGAGTTTAACGATAACGCATACATTTTATTTTCCCATATTTTGCTTAGCAGTTTGACATTTTTTTTTTTCTGTCGTTTACCTACTTAAAAGCCTCTTTAGTACGCATCGTAACGTCATATACAACTTTAAATACCATATACTTGTTGGAAAGCTTAATAATCGAAATATTCACCACCATTATCCTCATTGGCAGAAATTTCGTGGTTTTTTACGGCGTAATAGTCATCGACCCACTTTCGTAAATTTTGAAATTTGAGGAATAACTCGTGTGCTGAACACCACTGCATCAAGCTGAATAAGCAGTGGTGAGAGGAGTCAACTTTGCAGAATACGCCACAGGCGGCAGAAGTTCCCAGCATTAGCGGAACATCATTTCCTGGATTGGTTCTACTGAAGACGGACGGACGGACGTATGCAAATTTTCGGGCGTAAGCGAAATCTTACAAACCATTTTTCAACTGTTTGATAGCTTACTGCGTTTCCACTCCAAGCCAGATTAAGCATATTCGTAGCTTCAGCATAATATTGATTACAATGAAAGCGTATATACTTCTACGCTTCTTATACTCTAAATGTGAACATCTCGAAAAATTTCATAGCGGAAACGTCTCTTAAATAAAAACAAGTAATAACATTATAATGAGACATGGTCTTGCATTAAGTACTCTACACCATTTCGGTTAGTAGGGTAGTAAGCACTCATGTAACGAGTTTTCAAAATGAAGCATCCGATCCGCGTCATTTGCAATAGCGTTCCTCCTTGGGCCCAGACACGTCGGTCTATCAAATTTCGTCAGACTATGTCATTGTGAACATTGCGGCCTGTATGTTGAGCACAAGAAAGCAAGACAGACAGAGGGACAGACAAGCTTAGATCAATTCAGTATCAGTATGGTAAAAGGGGAGTGCGTTTCGATTTCTTGTGGACGCTGCATTGGTTCGCACAACCCGCTCTACATGCACTTATACTACAAGTGTCGGGTAGGGTATGCTAAACTAATTTCTTTTTAAAGGAATACAAAAAAAAAAAAAAAAAAAAAAAAATTTCAATTTCGTTAAGAAAAAAGAAGAAAGGAATTTTAAATATTTATTATTAGATTAGATTAGATTATTATTAGATTAGATATCAAAAAGAAATGGATCCATATATGTATAGATGTTGTAGAATCTGTATTGAAAACATGAAAAGCACGTCAGAGTATTTCGAATAATAATATTATATATTTTTGTATATAAGAATTGTTTGCTTAGTATTTCCTATGAGTTAAAGCAATGTGTTATAGATGATCTCGAACAGAAAGATGAAGCATTTGTTTATATTTTTATTTGCAGAATTGTTTTCTATTATATAAGAATTTAATTAAGCTGCAAAGACATATAAATCTTGTAGAGATTGCCCACAAATTGTTGGAATTTTTAAAAGTGATACACATAACGCAAACAAACAATCATATATCAAAAATAACTCAGGAGGCTATAGTTGATAAACTTGCAGGCCTTCATACTCTTTCCGTGCCTATGAAGAGGCCCAACCTAAGCCTTCTCTTAATGAAGTCTATTTATCATATTCGTATTTTGTAGAAGAAAAATGTAAGGATTTTTTATTAAGTCAGATTAAGTTTGGTTTTCTGCATCTTTTAAACATTGCTCAGTGGAGGTGCATTCATCTAGGGCAGTAGTAAAGTAAGAAAAATACAAGTTTAAGGAGTAGTTTCCTCATTCCGCTGCACTCGCTTTGGAAACAGACATCACGCTGAGAACTATAGAGGGATTGCCAAGCTGAGTGTCTCACCTAAATTGTTCGAACGTGTCGCTAATCAATATTTAGCTTTCCTATCAAATCTTGTACTTCTCCATGACTTTCTCCAGCATGATTTTCGGGAAGGAAGAAGCAGTTAGATCCGGGCTAGGTTGCGTTAAGAAGCGGCGCAAAGAGCTTAACGTTCCTTACATTACAAAAATGCCATACATGTCTTTAGTTAGAATATGTCTCTGTTGTTTGTTCTCCCTCGTATAGATGTTCGGATTCAATTGAATTCGTTCAATAGCAATTCTTGCTGTTTGACCTTAGGAACTCAATAATACACAATGGCAAGCAGAGAACGTTTGTTCTTCCTAATAGCCTAGAGATGATCGGCCTCCAATCACCAAATCGAACTATCATAGACCATCTATTGAACAGATGTGATAAGGGGTAAGGTACCTGTCGTGAAGGCTTAACCCTGCGGCGCCCGTTGGCACGCGCAGTGTAGAAGCGTCACTCGCAAAGCTACTCTGCAATTTGAGTCTACATCATATACATATGGCTTATCGTTCCCTCTGACTAGGGCGAGGCCTATCTAACACCTCAAATGTTTAATGTTTCCGCCAATTTGGAGGCAATCACAGTCACCACGAAACCATCGATTGGGCAATCTGCACTTTTCAAGAAGAATCGTAAAGTTTAGCTATGGTTTTCCGTCGACAGAGGTTACAAAAATTTTGAAATTGAAAACCTAGTAAGCATGAGACTGTTTGTTTCAAAAATTGATTTTAAAGAAACTTATTTTTGAAAAAATTGTTTCAAAAAGCTGACGCAATGTAAACTGAACAATCGTCTTTTCAAGCCGTAACTGATATTTAAAGCACTAGAAGGTAAAGTGAAGGAGAAGCGAAGGATAGGGTTACGAGAAATATGCCTTTAAAGTTATGATCTTCAGGATAATCCTTTTCACATCAAAGGTACAATGCCCGTAGTTTGCAATCAGCTTAATACCGCTCTTGTGTCGATGCTTTCAGATCAGGCGGATAGTTAGCCTTAGATCGAGTCGTATAATAAAAGGTGTGTCTATCTTAAGCCCGTTTGAAGGTAGTGTACGGTATTAAGACAGAAACAAACAAAGAAACGAACAAACAGTAAATGAGAATCAGTACCGAAAGCTTAGACGGCCCCGCCGAATAAAATACTTTGATTTAACTTTTTCCTGCCTGCGCACATGCACACAAATGCGCTTGTATTTATTAAAACAATCTTTTATTTACTGGTATGGTGGTCATTTTATTTGTTTATTTTTAATTTATTAATTTCTTTCGTTTCTTTTTTTATTTATTTTGTTTTTTTTTTTTTTTTTCTATAAATTTTCATCTAATACCATAATAAAGAAGTATAATTATCACATCTCATAAACATATAAGGTTTCATAAATATGTATAAATACAATTTTGGATGTTTTTCTTTTTTTTTTTGGTTTTTTTTTTTTTTTTTTTTTTTTTTTTTCTCTTTCAATTATTATGTCTTTAATATTGGATTAGACAAATAATAATAATAAATTTAAATTATAATTAACTTATTTTTATGACAGGGAGGGCGTAGATCTTAATAGATATACACGCACGCACACACATACGCAAATAGATTGAATTAAATGAATAATTAAAAGAAAATGTAATAATATATGAAGTGCCTAAGCACAATAAACAAAATAATTTGATTGAAATTGTAGATGCCAAACTCCATCGCCGACATCCTCCCACATTTCTAAGCATCTCTCCTTCTTCTCGTAAATAATGAGTGATAATAAAATCAAAAAAAAAAACACAAAAACACAAAAAAAATTGGCAAACGAATTAAGTGAATCTGTCATGTTTGCTTGTGTATGAAACTCTATTATATCTCGGAGACTGTTTCAATTCCATTGAGTTCGGCTCTTTGTCATCTACTCTATGTACACAAAGTTTCATCTTTAAAATGTATATTAGCAAGCAAACAGAAATTACAATAATCATCTCTGGGTTTCATTTTGTTTGCTCTTGTCCCTTTCCCTTTCCCTTATCCATATCTTTTTGTTTTTTTTCCTTTTTCTTTAATTATAAGCGTTCTCATAATTACCTTAGAGTTCTTCTAATGGCTGATGAAGAACTGACATAAATGTATGCGTGTGTATGTTACTTTCATGCTATGCACAAGCATATTCGGTTAAAACAAGCGACATTTTACTCTTTCCGTGAATGAATTACTATAATATTATTGTCAATCTATTCATCTTTTAAGGAAATTTTGCGATTTCGCTTTAGTTGCCGTAACCGGAATCGAGCAACACTAACTGCTCAAGCTTAATATAAAGGAAACGTTATGTTTTCTGCTTGTTAAACCTTTTATTCCTTTGGATCTGCCGTCTTATTGTTATAAACGTTGCTCTTGCATTAAATGTTCGCAAAATAAAAAATAAAGAAAAAGCAAAATTCAAAGAGATTGAAACATATACATATATATATATATATATATATATATAGAGAGAGAGAGAGAATTTCATTTAAATCTCTTAAAAATTTCTTACACTAGCAAACTGGCCAAAAAAAAAAAAAAAAAAAGAAAAAAGCAACCAAAAGAGGTAAAGGGGAATGGATATTAAACGATTATCTAATTTAAAATCAACAAAATGTAAAGCTAAACCGCACTTCAGTAAATGCATTCGCCCAACAAATCGCACTCACCTCGGTCAAGGGGTTTCAGCCAGAGTGGATTGTAATTGGGGCAAAGTTTACGATGCATAGGTATTTTGATTTGTACTGGTGTGACGGGTGCATTCTCCCATTGATAACCTTGGAAACGTGTATTATCCGATTTGTTGCATTGCATGCTAAGTGGCTCCTGTATATACATCGTATATAATTGATCAACACGAGGTTGTGTCCACTTAATACTTTCATAATTTTTCGAACGTGCTCCGCTCAAATGTACGCCATGTTGATGCTCTTTCCTGCGCAAAATAAATATAAATAACAAAGAAGAAATCATTTCACTGACTGAATCACTGACGACGGCACGAGTTAATTGTTGCGACTGTTACGAGCTAAAAGCAAAAAATTAATGAGCGACATTGTACGGATGAGATTGCAAGGATTGTTGATTGAATAAATTGTTCTTTATGAAATCACGCTATTGTTTATCAGTTAATTTGCTTTACAACCCCTTCGCACTCATTGCCGCAAAATGATGAGTTTAATGAACCTTACCACAAAATGCCCGAATACAGTTTAAGATAATCGAATGTTTAATATTGAAAAATTCAAAAATTCGAATTTTGAAAAACTGAATTGAAAAATTAATTTTCGAAAATAACTGAAATATTTGCCCTGTCTGTTCCCTTCGCCGCCACAATTACCTTGCATTACTTCTCCGTTCGAAACTTGACTTTTCCAGTCTCATTCCAAACCCATCTGATTCCCATGGTTTACAGCGAATTTGTACTCTATCTCCCATATGCTCTGTATTCTTATATTGTTCTACACTTAGGCTTTGGCTCTTGCAGAGCTAATACTTATGCAAGACTTGAATTTGCCGGTGCGGTAAAGTGTTGGTAACGCCAAAAAAATTAAAAAACCAAAGGTGACCGTTTAAGGTTAGCAAATATGGAAAATTAGACGACGATGAAAGATAATGAGGCATATTTGAAAATTAGTTTGCGCTTTCAGCAAACTCTGAAGGTCTTAATTCTTAACTTTCTATCTAGCTTTATATATATGCTTCGGTATTTTTGGCAAGCAAAGTACAGTTTCGCGTTTTTATCTCAAGTTTGTTTTTTGTGGCGCTGGGTATATATTACGATTGTGCGGACGTATATAACACGCAAAAAGGCTTAGGATAGACCGACCTTTTGTTATATCTATCGATTCACAAAATGATTCAAAACTTGTCTGTTCGTCTTATGTCTGCCCATATTATTTTTTGGTGTTCAACTTACCAAGGTCGCTGTAACACACTGACGTGTGTTGATGCTTGAAAATGATTCCCATCGGCTAACTTTTCGGACAGCTGCCCTATATAACGACTTTTCAAAATAAGGAAATAAAATTGCAATTGTCAGAATTTCCTGACACAAGTCGCTGAGTAATAGTATTTCGACAAGCTAAGTTTGTGTGAAAATCGGGCAATATTTTGAGCCCCCTCTCATTTAACCGTTCCTGCGAAAACTGAATCTTTATACGGTGAAAAAGTTTTGATTTTCAATATTTAATGGTGTAAGTAATAATAAAATGAGATGGCAGTCAACCTTCAATATGCAGGCTTTCATGAAAATTATGCCTTTACGTGTAACTTTTGGTGTGTTATTGTCAAAACGAGTGAATAATTGTATTAGGCAGAGTGTAAGTATAGGGTGTCTAATAGTCGGCTTTGCCCCACTATTACTTATTTTTAAAGCTCTACTGTTTTGAATTGCATGCAAATCGATATTATACAACTTTTATCATCAAAGTATGCCTTTCGGTTTTTATTACAATCGGAACTCTTTCGCCTCAATACAAAGTGCATTGCATTGCAAGAATTATTTTACTTATATTCCTTTAATTTATCCATGATATATTAGAAAGAGAAAATGTATGTTTGACATATAAAAGTACTTTGCTTGTTATGCAATGTGTTTTTAGAAAAACAGCTAACCACCACGTTACAGGCACTGAGGCGTTGCGTAGCAAATGGTCGAAAAAGTAATAAGATCCACACCGTTTTCAGTAGGATTCGTTAAAACACGTTAGTGTAACAAATTTCATCAAAATATCTTCAAAATTGTGGTCTATAGATTGCACATAAGAAGACAAAGCGGAGAGACGGACAGACAAGCTTAAATCGATTTAGCAAGAGATCCCGAAAATATATACACATCCAGGCTTTGTATGCATCCACGCAAACTTAATGTGCCCTCGTACCAGAAATGGTAGAAAAAAAAGAATATAAATCTAATAATTCTTGAATACCGTATCTATGAAATACGCTGCCAAGGAAATTGAGAAAAATTTTTTAAAAAGATTCAAAAAATTGATTTATGTGGCATAGCAAGGAAATAAAGTAACAGAGATATATTCAACTAGAAGGCAACACTCGCATATGGATAAGTGTTATGTGAGTATATTAATTGCTTTGAAAAAGTTTCTTTTTCCTTTGATTGCACTTATGCTTATATTTGTGCGTATATATTTGTGCGTATATGTATACATATGGAGTGAAAAAATAATTTTTTCTTTTACTTATGTTACACTGGTCATCACATAAGTGCATTTTTTCTTTAGTTTACAATAGAAACTGATTTCACATAAATGAGCGCCTCTGGACTTCTGTGATAGTTCAATCCTGGAATCCTTTATCATAAGTAACACAAATAATCTTGGTACATAAGGTCATCGAAATGTTGCAGGTTATTGAAGTAAGCCGGATGAACTTGCTGGCAAGCCAACATAGGCCTTTTCGGGGATTACACGATCATTGAACTTGTCTCCCAATAAATTGATTTTGTCGCGAAACGTATGGCATGGCATGCATCATTTTCTTAAAGCTTTCAGTAGTCATGTGTCTGTAGCGTTCTACGTTAAAGGTAACTGCAATCCCATTTAGATGTTAAGTAATGACCTAAACGTACATTTGTGCACACGTGCACATTTTTTGGGACCGGCAGAGATGTTTTCTATCTTACATTGCTGAATAATTACTATTACTCAGCGAGCTTTGTCGAAAGATTTGGAAAAGTGAAAGGGGGGAAAAACACGTAAAAAGACAAAAAACAAAAAAATGAGACCCTGACACTCTATGGAGACAAGTAGGAAGACTTAAGTGGTAAATTAAATCTTATATCGTATTCCTTCGCCTGTAACACTCAAAAAGGCGATAATTACTGCAAGGTTGTGAATTTTAATCACTCCGTTTCTTCTCCGTTTTTAGGATCCTCATGTCCGCAAAACTTGTGCGAAAAACCCGAAACTGGGCTATGAGTAGCAAATTTAGTTTAGTTCAAAATTAAGAGAAATTAGTTTGCAAACGTGTGCACAAAATTTTGAATCCGTTAACTTACTATGCTTTGATCGAAAATTATGTGCAAAATGGTTCCTAATCCTTTCAAAAATTAATGAAATAGTTAATGGCATAGGTTTCATGCAGTAATACGCTGGTACGTGGTACCACAAGTGGAGTGGAGTTCATTATTATGTGAAAATGGCTTAGTAGTCATCTTTCCGCGAGTCATTATTACCATTCATCTCATGCTTGCAATTTGGCTGCGTTTTTCAAATAAGGCCAAGACCCCTTTGTATGAACTGTGAAATGACATGGCGGCGGTTTGGATGAATGTGAATCTGGTATGGCGGCAGTTAATAGGCGCTAAAGTTCACAAGAAGTAGAAGAGACGCAAACTTGAACGAATCCATTTAAATTAATTTGTTCTTTGCAGTAAAGTATATTGAAAAATATCCAAATCGATTGTTATTTAGAAGAAACGTAGTCTTGTGTTCAAAATAGATTTTTAAATTATTTTCATATCATCCATTACGGTCAAGTCGACGTGTGTGATCGGTCAAGTTACGGTTTCCATTATCGAGCTAACTCGAAGTTTAACCATCAATTTAGGATTGATGGTTCTCCTCATCGAGCAACTTTTGCCGAGTAGTGAGTTGGTTGCACTCGACAACATATGAATTTTGCTTGATATTGAGTCGAATGTGAAATCCGTCGTACCATCAATCCGGTCGTGTCATTTTTGTGTTGCGGCTCGCAAGGTAGCTCGGTAGCGAGACCTGTGCACCAACCACACGAATCTAGGAGAAGCAATGAAGATAACCGTTGTTAATTTCTCAGCTTAGAAAGCCGCTATTGGTCATATTTTGATTTGGCAGTCATGGAAGTAGCTTGAAAATGAATATCAACGGTGGCTGATAACAAATATTTCACAAATGATTAAAAACTTACTTAGTAAAAATTATATCTAATTAATTAGAGCACTTTGGAACTGTCTTATATTGGATTCAGTTATCTGGAATTCAAGATTTACTCATCGCTGAATACAATTTTTATCCGCATTAATGGCTTTGCCTGCGTTTTTTTTTTTTTACATACAAGTGAGATTTTATTAATGTTAACTTGTGGGAGAAATAGTTACCCTAATGTTAATTTCAAAGGGCAATATATTGATTGAACAGAATGAAAATGAAAGGGTAAACGGAAATTAAATTCTTGAAGGACGAACGTAATTTTCATCTCTTTGATAGGTATGCTAGCTGAAGAGCATCCCTAAAGCGACACGAAACGTGATTCTAATGTGAAGCTTTATTCTGTACAAATGCAATTCCGTTTACACTATACTCGTTTCCGCGTGGCTGCTTAAATACATATATACGCTTGCTTTATAATATATGGTGGAAGCAATCAATAGCAATCAGTTTCACTTCACGAGGTAGCATTTCTAGCTGTTCTTACCTGAGAGAGAAAGTACTTACTTTTTCATATAAACGAAATAATTTTCCAAAGTCTCTTCGGATACCGAACTTTTGCACACCTCTAATTTTGTAGCAGGATAATAGTGAATGTAATTAACACACATTTCATCGCTAATAGAAAAACCGCCAAGTGTACAGTTATCTTTGCCCACAGTGTTGTAATAACAAGTGGTAACTAAAGCATCACCCTTTAATATACGAAAAAGCAAGAATGAAAACAAAAATAAATATAACATCAAAATGCAGCAAATTAAAACTAAAAAATTGTGCTATGAATGAAAATACATTGCGAGGGGCCGAGTGACGGTGTAAATGAAAACTTTTAAAAAATATTTATAAAAATGCATACATACATACATACATACATGCATACATATGCTTAACATATACATTTATTGTATTAAATATATATACGTATGAAATCCCTTAGCAGCCTTGACATTATTTTGGGGGTTAGAACAACAACAACCAACAACAAAACAAAAAGCAATGCTTGCTACATAATCATCATTGTGAATGAATGCTGCCACACATCACTAATGAATTTCGCAAAATTAATTTTAATCAAATTTAAAAAACCAAAAAACCAAAAATAAAAATAGACGGACGGAGCAAAAATGGGAGATTTGGAAGAGACTTGATTTACCGGTAAAACTCGAGGCTTATAGCGCAAGTTACGCATTTCCTGAAAATGATGTGAATAGTAGTCGTCACGATTTACTTCACGCAACTCATCCGCACCGCGAAAATGTCTGGTCAATACACGTACGCCAGTCAAATGCGTATGCAATTGTGAGCCAAAGATAACGATGCCTGTACGCGGTAAGGCCTAAAATGAAACAATAATCATATTAAAATTAGATGCTTATGTACGCATTGATTTGCTGCATTAACTCTCAACCGCATATTTAAATTGTAATTTCGTTTATTCAATTAATTGAAGCTTTTACTGGTTAAATGCCGCTTTTATTAGCATATGAAAGGCAGAAATTTTCGCAACTGTTTACCGAGACATTATTAAGAACGTTTTGATTTTGAATTGTAGAGATTAAGGCCAATGAATGAATTTTCATGTTAATGGAAAATAATGGCAATATAACTAGAGATTCATGTAAGAGGCAAAAGGTGTTTTGTTTATGCACTTGTCTCTCGTAACACGTTTGCGAATTTGAAAAGACTTTAAAAAAAAAAAATTTAACTTGAATCACATTTTAAGAATGAATCGTTACGCTGCACCACCATGCATTTTTGTGTGACTTACCACTTCAGTACATTCGGCGATACAGTAACCGCTAAGGGGAAAACCAATTTGCCCTGGCGGTATGGCCATTTTATCTGTATATTCAAGGCCTAATTCCATGACACCGGCATCGAATTGTCGCAGCTGTGAGACCATTTTAATGCGCATACCGGAACTGTCTACAAGACCTATAAAACATCATCGAAGGAAAAAAAGAATAAATGCCAACATTTACATTCACTATGTGAAAAGAAGAGGAAGAAAAAGAAGAAGAAAAAAAAAAAAATTGCAAACTGAAGCGGTAATAATAAATGGCAACATAAATCACTATGTTAGAAGGAGCCAGTCGGCCAGACAACCCTTCAACTCAGCAACCAACCAACCAACCAACCAACCAACCAACCAACCAACCAAGCAACTAACCAACCAAGCGAAGTAAGTAAGCAACCTATACACGAACGTATATTTACCTTTTCTCATTTCTGGATTATTGAAGTGCACTTCCAAACGTATAAACGGATTGTAAGTTTTGCCGCCCATCGGCAAACCAGTTTCGGGTGGATATGTGAATGTACTACTGCCCATCGCCCACAAGGCAACCACTTTCGAGCAAACTTTGGCTGCTGATGGCATTTGCTCACAATCGTCATTGTATAGCGGTATATTAGCATTCCAATCGGTTTCACAATGAAAGACTTCCATATGATGCACAAGACCAGGTGTTATAATAATTGGCTCAAATTGAACGATATGATGTTTGTGCACGAGAAAGTCATCAAGTTTTTGTATATGACACCAATAAGTAGTTTCCTTATCGGGTATCGTTACGTTATGTAACCTTATTTCTACAACCTTAAGATCGCTACAACGAATGAAAACAAAATGGCATCAAAAATTTCATTTATCAGTGTTGAACTGCAAATTGGTAGCATAACGGTCATAACTCACGTTTCGGGTATAAGTATTTTGTCGCTACGCAATAACTGCATCATTTGAATACCAGACTCATGCTGAGAAACATTGGGAAATGGAAATTGATAGTCAGCCAATTGTAAATCTTTTTCACCTCTGGCCCACATTACATACATGGTGCCTTCCTGCAACGACAACAATTGATTAATTTCCTTTTAAATCCGACAACAATTCATGAAGCTTTACATGCATACGGAAGTCTGAAGGGTCACACGTATCGAATTTTCGCTTAAACGCCAGCGTATATTCATCCATTTTGAATAGAACGCAATCCTGTTGATAGTCTTTGTGCACGAATTTACCATTCGGGCTGGTATAGGTGTCGGTGACCACATTGAAAAATCCATTTTGATTTTCAAAGAAACATATATCAGCATCACCAATATCACCGCGTTTCGAAAAGCCCAAATAAAACCAGCGATGCTGTTCGTTGAACGCGTTTTGCAAATGAAACAACACCTCTTGCTTATACCAATCGACCATCCAGCTGAGCTTAATTTCTTTATTATCCAAATAGATTTCATGCAATTTTGTATCGGAGAGCCCTATTTAACACCAGACAGAACAAGTAAACGCAAAATCTTGTTTTTAATAAAATTTTACAAAAAAAAATTCATTTCAATTCATTTAATTTCACAAAAAAGAAAATAATAATAATAATAATGCTTGATTTCTCATAAAGTGAGGGTGCATAAAACATACATATATAATTTTTAAGCATTTTGTGTTGCGATTAAATTATAAAAATAATCAATTTTTTTTTTATTTTACTCCATGTAGTCGACAATCACGTGCAGTTTGTTGATATGTTTTGCTTGGCTGCTATTTATTGCATTAACAATTCCAAAAAGGACATTTTTTTCTTTTTAAAACATTCGGTCCACTCTATAGCGCCCCTCCTTTATAAATTATTTAATTTCACCTACACGTACGAGCTGATGCACATTCGCTTATAATGACCGTACGACCTCATGTTTTCATAATTAAGCTAAACAAAAAATAAGGCAAACAAAAAAAAGACAAGTAGGAACATTTGGTTGGGCAACACCGACCATTATATACCCTATACCACATTGCCTAACACGATTCTTATTTTTATTATAGAACATAAAAATTATACATTATATATGCCCTATATAAGGGGATCAATCAATCAATTTTTTATGAAAACCGTTAAATAGGCCGAGATGATCCAAATTTGGCACAGTTCATTTTTTTACCTTACATTACTATTTTCAACCTGAAGCATTGAAAATTCGACCTCTTGATCGTATGAACCTCGGTTTTTACTACATGAGAGAGGGTTCAAAAATTACCCCAGCCGGTCCATAGATTTCATAGCAAACGAAATACTAGTACTTGGCCATTTTTGCGGAGGAATTTTGAAAATTACAATATTTTTCCATATAACGATTTTCGGAATAGGGCCTTATATGGGGAGTAGTCGGAAAAACAAGTCAGTGTACCAAATTTCATCAAAATATCTCAAACATTGCGACCTGTAGCTTGAACACAAATTTATATGAAGAGACATCAGACGGACAGACTTGGATCAATTCAGATAATGATTCTGAATCGATCGGTATAATAAAAGGTATGTCCATCTTACACGCCCTTCTGCGTGTTATATACGATCGCATTAAGTTAATATACCCTGTTCCATATATGGTATAGGGTATGGAAAACACTGGAAAGAGTTTTTATGGCTAAAAACTGCACAGGATTGGAGGATGACCGGCGAGAATTCAAGTTTATTCGGTTGACAAAAAAGAGAACAAAACAACATTAAAAAGTACGTTAAAATTACATTTACAAAATAATAAGTGCTTTAAGCCCTTAGTCTTAGAATTTATTTCTCTGGCTAAATCAATTATGACAATAAGAACATAATTCTATTCGACTATCACCGAATTGTTTATACTGAAAATAGAAACAAAAAATATTATAGAAATATTTAAAAAAATAAAATCTTAATACCATATGGCATTCAATGGGCGGAATGGGTTTTCTTCGTTTCGCACCCTTTATCCGATTCCAAGGTTTTTCGCCAAATTTACCGTATGCAGGCACAAGGATGCCCAGACGGACGGACAGTCACGACTCTAAAAATTGCATAGTTGATACTGATCCCGAATATACGTACTTCGCAGCTTCTCTCTTGCTTCCTTATGTTTTGATGACTTGATGACTTTGAATCGCGCGTGCAAAAAAGGACTTAAAACAACGTCCACTCAATATAAGGGCGAATCTTATTATATCTTCCTCTTATGTCGCTAGCATAACAAAACTTGTTGTTGTTAGGCTTTCACGAGAGAAGCGTAAGAGTAGTTAGTGTATAACTGAAGCAATGAAAGAAGCGGGACTCCACTCGCGTTTAATCGCGTTTCAGCGAAACGCTATCAAAAATCTCTTCCTTATTTACATAGCAGAGCTAACAATAAACCATCAACCGCCAACTTTGAGTTTTTTTTTTATTTCCTCGAGGCGCTGAAAGGCCCTTATCAAAATGCAGGCGGCATAAGTTCAGAGATGATGATGAGGCAAAATATAAGGCATTAGTACTGCTACGTGAACTTTTTTAATTATTTAGCTTTTGGAAGTTTTGATATCTTTCTCCAAAAGGTACAATGATCTAAAAGGAGATTTTTGCGGACCAGCAGGTGTGTTTTCTTTTCTGAGGTTGTAACCCACAAGTAATAACAAACTCCAAACAAAATCCCAATCAGAAGTGTGCTTCCTTTACGCTTGTTTCGGGAACCACAATGGGAACAGTTTTCACGTCAACTCTTCAGAACTTGGTGATTACATTTGTATGTTTGCGGCCGACCTATCTCACGTGTTTGCAAATGCGATTTGTTGCTCTAAGCGTAGGAGAGTGTGAACAAGGTTTCACCTCAGATCTTCCACAGCGACATATGACAAAAAAAGAGACGGACGTTCATTTCTAAGACAAGCCGAAATTTTAAGCTCCTCAAGAGTAAATAGATTTTATTGGATTATTGTAAAAGTTAAACCAAACTCAGCTTATCTTCTGTAGATATATTTAGTTATTCAATAGGAACATCACAGTGGAGTGAAAAGACTGTAATGGGACGCGGCCACTCATTAAATGCCCTACAGTTATTCATAGAACTGTTTCTCAAATTAACGCGCCTACACGGGAAGTGATTCGATCCGAACGATTTTCAATAGCGTTTGTCTTTGGCGTAAGACACGATCCAAATTTCCAAGTTCTTTTAAAAGTTGCGTCTTGTACGTTCAGCATAAGCATGTAAGTAAGACGCAGATAGACGGCCATATGGGCTTAGACCGATTCAGAAATTAATTGTCAATCTCAGACTATTCTGGTTGTTGCATACATCCGCACATATAAACTTACTACGTCCTTGCACCACAAGTAAGGCAGAGTGCACTTCTTTAAATTATTCTATAAATTTAACCAAAGGGGAATTGTGTTCAAGCATTTCGTTTTTTCTAGCAACCTAGCAAAACTTATTGAATTAATGTTGTTTCACGAGTGGCACGGTTTCAAAGGCAAAACTTACAAGCGCACTTACGACTCCAGTTAATTTGTTACGCTAGACAGCTGAAAATCTTGACTTATGAAGAAAGTTCAAAATAATGAGCTAATTAACAGATGATCATCTAGTAATATGTAAAGAGTTGATAACATTTTTTTTGCATTTTTTATTCCACTGTACATTGTAATATCAAACTGTAGCGGGATGTTAAGCTAATTGACTCGGCAAAAATAAACTTTTAAAGCGTACGAATGTACGTTAAAATCTTAATGCTAATCATTGTTTCTTGTCCTATTTTCCAAAACTACGATTTTTGAGTTCCAATTGAGAGGCAATGCAGAGCGGAGAGAAATAAGAAGAACTGCACTTTAAAATGATTTAATAAAATGCTTTGCTTAACTGTGCCTCGATGTTGATTATATTATCATAATTGCTGAAATTCATATTCATATTCAAGCACACACTCACACATGTGTTTATGGGCATATTCGTTAGTACACTTTCGAAGGCACTTCAATTATCGTAAAAGCGAGAGATATTAATTGGTTTTAAATAAATTTCATTTTCCATGATTAGTTAAAATAATTGAAAGAAATCTCGGCTGTGTGAGACAAATTTTTAGTTCGCTACTTGCTAAACTTTGACGATGCATACAATCATACAAAATGTAACTCATTTTTTTTTTTTATCTTTGCGTGAAAGTGACGATAATAGACGGTTATTATCAGCAATTATTATAATGTATATAAACTTTTTTGGTCCTAGGCCAATACATGGCGACAACAACAGCTAAATTCTCGGGCTAATCAAATAGGACGAACACCAGCAACAAGTACACAAGAACGTTATCGGCACCCATCCGTTTCAGGGGGCAGATCGAAGGGTTAGTCTAGTTGGCTTAATGGAGTTAAATATTGAATATTGACATTTTGTTCGTCAGATGCTTACACGAATGTTCAAATATTGAAAAGTTTTCGGCATTCAAAAACTAGATGTTCAATTGTAAGATTTTGTTCACAGCGCCATAGTGCAGACGCTTGGAAATTTTTTGATCTTAAATCTCGGTGGAAGTCGATTAGAATGAACATGCGAGTAATGCGGATAGGACTATTTCCCGATGTGGATTCATTTGAAGGTCGCACTTTCCCGCTGAGCTGTGCACATCTGCTCGCTCGTTTGCCAAGGGGCCACTATCATTAGTTGGTACCCAAAAGATTTTAATTTCTTTTCCGTAAGTGATAATGGAATTCCTCACTTTGTCAATGGTATTTAAAGCGTTACGGATATGGTTTACGACCGACAAACCATCTGTAATGATGACCTTCTTACGTTTGGCTATCCGAGCAACTTTTGCGGCCAGCTGCTGGGTAGACATGGGACCAGTCGTGATTTGTACATTCGTCGGGCGGTAAAAAGAAGATCTCAACGACTATATTCTCAATCGTGAGATTTCTCTGTGATTAGTTCTTTGAGAACGAAACTTGCCTTTCATTCTATTCTCTGCTGCATCTCGAGCGTGAAATATCGCAAGGTTTGACTTTTAAAGTCGAATTTAGGGGAGTTGTTTAGGGCTATGGGTATTTCTTTTTTAATATTTATATATAACTTATATAAATCGAATGGCATCAGAGCCCTCTTTTAGGTTATCAATGAAATTCCGAAAAGTCCGTTTGCTACTATCATAGAAACAAGGATTTTTATGAAATTTTAATGCTTACAATGCTACTGAGTTCAATGAAAGGTAGTAGAGATCGAAAATATTTTTACAAAAAAATGTTTTTTCTTATTATAATACTATCGTGCGAACCTCCGATACCCATCAATTTGCTTGGGTTCCATTTAATATCAGATACGTTAGGCAATCGATTCACTGGGTTTGGAGTAAGAATTTTGTAGAGGAGTGTAGCGTTCGAGCCAAATTAAAAAAAATAAAAATATATATGCAACGAAAAAATTGATTGATGTCATTTGCTTGCCAGTTAGGATGCCATATGACCTGACAATTAAGGACAAAGTGAAAAATC